AAATATATTTTTTATATTTGAGATTCTTCAAAGTAGCCACCCTTTGCCTTGATGACAGCTTTGCACACTCTTGGCATTCTCTCAACCAACTTCACCTGGAATGCTTTTCCAACAGTCTTGAAGGAGTTTCCCACATATGCTGAGCACTTGTTGGCTGATTTTCCTTCACTCTACCGTCCGACTCATCCCAAACCATCTCAACTGGGTTGAGGTCGGGGGATTGTGGAGGCCATGACATGTGATGCAGCACTCCATCACTCTCCTTCTTGGTCAAATAGCCCTTACACAGCCTGGAGGTGTGTTGGGTCATTGTCCTGTTGAAAAACAAATGATAGTCCCACTAAGCCCAAACCAGATTGGATGGCGTATCGCTGCAGAATGCTGTGGTAGCCATGCTGGTTAAGTGTGCCTTGAATTCTAAATAAATCAGTGTCACCAGCAAAGCACCCCCACACCATCACACCTCCTCCTTCATGCTTCACGGTGGGAACCACACATGCGGAGATCATCCGTTCCGCTACTCTGCGTCTCACAAAGACACGGTGGTTGGAACCAAAAATCTCACATTTGGACTCATCCGACCAAAGGACAGATTTCCACCGGTCTAATGTCCATTGCTTGTGTTTCTTGGCCCAAGCAAGTCTCGTCTTCTTATTGGTGTCCTTTAGTAGTGGTTTCTTTGCAGCAATTCGACCATGAAGGCCTGATTCATGCAGTCTCCTCTGAACAGTTGATGTTGAGATGTGTCTGTTACTTGAACTCTGTGAAGCATTTATTTGGGCTGCAATTTCTGAGGTGCAGTTAACTCTAATTAACTTATCCTCTGCAGCAGAGGTAACTCTGGGTCTTCCTTTCCTGTGGCGGTCCTCATGAGAGCCAGTTTCATCATAGCGCTTGATAGTTTTTGCGACTGCACTTGAAGAAACTTTAAAAGTTCTTAAAATGTTCCGTATTGACTGACCTTCATGTCTTAAAGTAATGATTCTCTTTGCTTATTTGAGCTGTTCTTGCCATAATATGGACTTGGTCTTTTACCAAATAGGGCTATCTTCTGTATACCACTCCTACCTTGTCACAACACAACTGATTGGTTCAAACGCATTAAGAAGGAAAGAAATTCCACAAATTAACTTTTAAAAATAAAATAAAAATACATTGGTCATTTAGCAGACGCGCTTATCCAGAGCGACTTACAGGAGCAATTAGGGTTAAGTGCCTTGCTCAAGGGCACATCGACAGATTTTTTACCTAGTCGGCTCGGGGATTAGAACCAGCGACCTTTCGGTTACTGGCACAACGCTCTTAACCACTAAGCTACCTGCCGCCCTTAGGCACACCTGTTAATTTAAATGCATTCCAGGTGACTACCTCATGAAGCTGGTTGAGAGAATGCCAAGAGTGTGCAAAGCTGTCATCAAGGAAAGGGTAGCTACTTTGAAGAATCTCAAATATAAAATACACTAATCAAAATGTAACACTTTTTTGGTTACTACATGATTCCATGTGTTATTTCATAGTTTTGATGTCTTCACTATTATTATACAATGTAGAAAATAGTAAAAAATAAAGAAAAACCCTGTAATGAGTAGGTGTGTCCAAACTTTTGACTGGTACTGTATTTTAAATGAAATTGAAGCAACCCTAAATGATCTCACTAACACTTCTGTGCCAACTGTTAGCAATATGCATGAGCACCACTGCTTGGTTGTTCCATATTACACAACAGCATGATAGGTTAAATGTGGATTTCTCAGTAAAGCGATCACAAGGGTGAGGGATCAGAAGGGAACTTGGCCTACGGTCAGGGATCTGTGATGAGTTGATTTCAGACATGCTCAAATCACCCTGCCATCTGTCTTCTGTCTCAGATGGATCCAGGCTGTAAAAATGCTTCAATGATATACAGTGAGTATACAAAACATTAAGAACACCTGCTCTTTCCATGACATACACTGACCAGGTGAAAGCTATGATCCCTTATTGATGTCACTTGTTAAATCCACTTCAATCAGTGTAGATGAAGGGGAGGAGACAGGTTAAAGAAGGATTTTTAAGCCTTGAGACAATTGAGACATGGATTGTGTATGTGTGCCATTCAGAGGGTGAATGGGCAAGACAAAATATTTAAGTGCCTTTGAACAGGGCATGGCAGTAGGTGCCCGGCGCACCAGTTTGTGTCAAGAACTGCAACGCTGTTGGGTTTTTCACAGTCAACAGTTTCCCGAGTGTATCAAGAATGGTCCAACACCCAAAGGACATCTTGACAACTGTGGGAAGCATTGGCGTCAACGTGGGCCAGCATCCCTGTGGAACGCTTTCGACACCATGTAGAGTCCATGCCCTGACGAATTGAGGCTGTTCTGATGGCCAGGGGCAGGGGAGGGGGGGGGGTGCAACTCAATATTAGGAATGTGTTCCTAATGTTTGGTATACTCAGGTGTATAGTATGTTTCTGAATTGCACTTTTTCCAATAGTACTGTGAATGGTTTGACTAAACTGGTTTGCTTGAGATACCGATGTAGTTGTCGTGTCCCTCAGTTGTACGCACTGACAAGTGGATTTGGAATTGACTACAGCATATGGCAAATGTGAAAGCACAATTAGGCAACCACAGTAAATAAATAAAGAGTGGAAACACTCACTTGATAGAACATCTTTATAGAAAAATTAAGTCTTCACATTTCCCCAAAAACATATTTTTTGCTTTTTTCACTTACGTTTTACATTTTTTAAATATTTTTTTTATTGTCCATTCATTTACGTGGTAAATATTGAACAACTGTAACATCCAACTTTGTGTCAGTGGCTCTATCGTTTCGTTCCTTGGCCAGGTGGTCAGAAGCTTCAGACAGGAACACAAACGCTTTCGCTCCTGCATTTGGAGCCATAACGATGTCATAGAGGTGTTGAGAAGGAGCCAATGAGGACTGTAGTACTCTAAGTAGAGTAACCGTGTCCATGTGTCCAGTGGTGATGGCACTGGGCGTTCTATATGGGCCACAGAACACTGTTCCTGAGGAGCCAAAAGGGGCAGTCTGCTCTAACAAGGCCTACACTCAGCCCAGAGAAAACTAGCCTGTCCACTCAAGCACCAGTCCAGTTTGGCCTAAAGGCACCTCCGTTAAAAAGCGCTTCTTTTGCTTCTATTGATATGCACTTTCTTTTTTCTTAATTTCTCTCTCTCCTGTCGTTTCAAACGGTCGTGCCCATTAACAGGGTCATCAACCTCACTGCCGCTGAAATATTCAGGGTGCAGCACAACCGGCAGGATATAGCAGCGAACCCAGCAACTTAACAAAGGGCTCAACAATCATAGTACTGTAATGCAAAGTTTACAAAAAGTGTAAAAAATAAACTAAAAACAAGAGCGAGAAAGAAAAAACAAAAAATGAAGGATATAATAAAATAAAATAAAAATAAAAATATAGTTTGCAGTACCCACGTTCTTCTGCTCTGCAAATTGTACCATGCATCAGCATCTTTATTTTAGGTCATAAAGCTCACCAAATAAATAATTGAAAGACAGACCTACTTTTCACATGCACAAGATCATACACAGAGCACCGATGACTTATGATCCTTAGTCTACATCTTTTGTAGCATAGTAGATAGAGTATGCTTAACAGCAATTCAAACCCAGTGCAGGTCACTTTTGGGGACTTTTATGTTGCAAAATTCCAGTTCAGAGTGCTGCTGACCTTCAATGCAGTTTTAGGGACGTTGAGGTTTCCTAGAAATGGAAATTCCTTCATTTGATCTATGCCAGAGCACATCAATATAAAAACAGACAGTTATATGGCTGTGCGTCACTCTACAAAACATGACTTTGGCCACCCCTGTGTGTATTAAAGTTAAAATGTGTTTTTAAATTGTCATAGCGATTTCAGATTTATCTAAGATACTGAAGTGAGTTGTGACCTCCTTCAGGTCAGGTCAGATCTGGGGCCATGACCTCTGTTAGGACCCTGTGTAGCCCTGCACTACTCCACCTACACAAGCACACTCTGGGGTTAACGGGGTGACTGTAGGAATGGAGATCAGCTGATGTGAATACAGAGGGACCCAAGAAGCAGCCTCAGGATCCTTTCTATCAGATGCCATAGAGTGGAAAGGAAAGACTCAGAACAACTTCGGTCTCCATCTCTACCACTGAGCTACCTTGTTTTATTTAATAAATATATAAAGTGCTTTTAAAATAAACTATAGTTGTGTGATATCGTCTTGCAGTGTTTTGGTTTTGTTCTTGACCTTTCAGTACTAACGCAAAACGTTAAGAGAGCTACGATGAACAACTGTCCATCACCATCACCAACTACCTACAACAACACTGACAGGGACTGTAACAAGACAAATTATGGCAATATCTCCAAAACATTCGCTCAATCCAATAAGAAAGGATAAAAAAATTGGTTTTGAACAAATGCAAAGTTGAAAAGACGAAACTAATCACAAACCAAGAAATAGGGTATTGTGTTGGCCATGGGTACGTACATCTCTGCTACACTGCAGAACCAACCGTCTGCTTTCATCACAGTCATCAGAATTGAGACAAACAATTCATTAATACAAATGAAAATAATTAATATCTATTGTAATAATAGTAATATAATTGCACATTAACCATCAACAGCAGAGACATTTTATAAGAGGAAAATACATTAAATTAAAAGTGGACAGACCACCCTTGCAGAGTGGAAAATGAGCAGGCAGAGCGAGGGGAAGAGAGGAATTACATTGCGTGTTTTGACTTTGGAAAACAGCTTTCCACTGCAGTGCGCATGCCACAAAAAGAGCTTCAATGATTGCATTATACTATTTTATCTCCCGTTTTTAACTGAGAAATAGGACAGATAGTCGCACTGTTCTTCTTGCTCATAATTACCAGTCTCTTCCCCATATCCCTGCCTGCTGTAGGGGGGTTCCCACCCTGCGGCCTTCTAGCTTGGTCTTTCTGCGCCGTTGGCGATGAACTTTGTGCCTCTCCCTCCCACCAACTGACCTAAGCTATCATGTACTGGGTGATGGCTCTCAGAGCATACAGAAGCTCAGCCTGTAACCGAGCCTCCATTATCAGCAAGTTCACATGGATCTAAGAGAAGAGAAAAATGAGAGGATCGTATCAGAGTGAGCAAGAGATGGAATGTGGTTGAGGGTGAAACAGAACACAAATTACTACTTTGCATCCCATTTGATCACCTTCAGCACATTACTTGGACAAAACTATTATGGTCCAGTACATTTAGTTCCAGTATATAGTTCAGCTGTATATGGATGCAGGGTGTATTGGTATGGGGCGACATGCGTACCCTCTCAGAAGGTTTGAGTGGTGCCCAGGGCAGAGGACACAGCGGGGTCTTGGTGGCGTCAGGGTAGCAGGCTACAGACTTGATATAAAGCTTCAGCTCCCTCTCCAGCAACTGGTTTACCTCCCCATAGTCATAATCGTCGTACCTGCAGACACACACCACAAGTGTCACATGTCATGCAAACATGAACGCAATCCAAGCGGGGCCCTTGCAGCGAATCACAAGCATTGAATCATAGGCCTAACCTGGCTGCAATGCAAGCGATCATGATAGCATCTCACTTTACAAGAACTCTAACTATGTACCCAGTGTTCATTTGCCTGACGTGTGCTTGTTCCTGTGTATGTATAGGTGTGTGTGTGTGTGTGTGTGTGTGTGTGTGTGTGTGCAGACTAGTAGCATGTCCTCACCTAATTCCCAACATGCAGTGGATGTAGTTCCAGATGGCTCTCTTCAGGTCAGGCCCGTGGGACGAGGGGAGGGCGGTGACGCTGCGGAAACGGTCGTCCAGCAGGTGCCCGATGTCTGAGTACAGCCGGTTGACCAGGGAGAAGCCGTGGTCCTCCCAGGAGTAGTCCTGTCCAGACACACCACACACACACACAGTCAAACAAACCTGAAATACTCACATGGTTTCTGTAACACCTCAGCTAACTATAGACCCAGACATACGTTACAGTATATGCTACTGAAATTCTACGAAAGCTGATTTATTACTTTACTGACATGGACACCTGTCGCCTCCTAGCAGGGTTTCACATATTCCAACATGTATGTAAGCCATGTCCTTACCTGCACCCGGAATACTTGGAAGTGGTCTTCCTCTTTCCGGGCAAACTCCTGGTAGCCGAACTCGGGGTCTGTTATGAAACGTGAGGGGTCTGCTGAGTAGATCATCTCCTCCTCATCTTTCCCATCTGAGAGGAAACAGTGAGAGAGGGTAAATAAATATAGTTGATCCGTCACGCAACGTTCACACCAGTGGAGGCTGGTGGGAGGATCTATAGGAGGACAGGCTCATTGTAAAGGCTGGAATGGAATGAATGGAACGGAGTCAAACGTGGTTTCCATATTTTTAATACTGTTCAATTCATTCCATTCCAGCAATTACAATGAGCCTGTCCTCCTATAGCTCCTCCCACCAGCCTGCACTGGTTCACACACGAGGATAAGTTTAGCCCTTGCCGCTTCACAATGTCGGGTGTGAATGTGAAAGTGAGTGGGGACAGCTGTGTGTGTGTGTGTGTGTGTACCTGTGTGCTGGAGTGTCTGGGTGTGTAGGACACACTCCCCCCTCCTCTCTTTCTCCTCCTGGGACTTCTGGATCCTCTCTTTCAGACACACCATCTCACAACTGGAGTCCAGAGACTGCCAAGACAGATACCATGATAAAAGACGTGAAGTTGAACAACATGCAACTTCGGTAGTCTTTCAGGCAACAACCTGTTGTGGAATAGTTCGGATGTCATATTCAGTCTGATACAGCACACAACCCTTACCCGTCGTCGTGTGGTGTGTTCTGAGGGTGTGGTGAGAGGCGGAGGCGCACTGACATTGCCGTTGGCAGCGTCACAGAGGCAGTAGCCCGGGGGGGTGCCGTTGGGGGCTCTGGGGAGGGGGACGGGGTCGGCGTCGGTGCCCGAGCCAAACACAAAGCTAGAGAGGGAGTGGCAGTGGGCCAGGAGCACCACAGCCTGAACCAGCTCAGCCAGAGACCAGCACTGCTCCCCTGTCTTCAGCAATGCCTGGTGGGGGAAGGACACAGCAGAGAGTGGGCCTCACGGTGGAGATTAGACAGGGCTGGAGAACTCTACTGATCAGGGATATGACACTCTAAACCAGGGGTTCCCAAACTTTTTCACTCAGGTCCCCCTTCTAACATTGGGGTTGGGGAACATCCCGCGCCCCCCTCCCCACCACGTCTATTTCTATGGGCACAAGCACTGTTCATGAAACAAACTGTTCACACCCCTCTTTTGATGGAGAGAACATTTTTCAGGTTTAAAGTACATTTCCTGTAATTATACACATTTTGTCATGGGGTGCAGAGAAAATGTTGCCGTTTTAAAGCTAATTTTCTTGCAACTCTATACATTTGGCCATATCTAATGTGTATTCATGTGATATTACAACAAAATCTATGGGCTAAAAAACCTTGCTAAAAAACATTAGCTGACATGGGCTAGTTGATATGGACATTTCTGACAAGTTATAAATAGCTCTCTAAGGTCTGCAATGACTAACATGACAAGAGGAATACTGATGAGGCACTACTCAATTTTGAAATTTCCCCTTGTGCATTCTACCATTATAACTTTAAGGAGTAAGTCGAAAGCTAGACTGAGTTCCTTAAAAAAAAAGAGGAAACCACTGCTCTAATCCACAAAGATAAGAATCAATCAACATCCAAAACATAATTACTTCGGCATATTAGATATTTTTTATAAGAGCCCATAACTTTTTCAAGGAGCTGGTTCTTGTGGTACCTGTATGTGTGAGCGGGCGGTGAGCCAGGGTTGGTGGGCCAGAACCTTGTTGAGTTGGTCAAGGTGTTGTAGGCGAGGGGGGACGGCCTTCAGCCCCTGTAGCCACAGCGGGTCCCCCCCCACCCTGAGGAACTGGGCCGAGTGCAGAGACACCAGGTAGCCACAGTGATGCTGCGCTGCAGCCTGGGAGAGATGGAGGGAGGGACAGAGAGACACTTCAATACAAGTACATCTACAGCAAGAACAGGGTTGTCTCCAGGATGTTGACCACGTTTGTGTCATTGTGCGTGGGTGGGTTGTGGTGAGTTTGCGTCTGTGTAAATGTGTTTGACTGTTTATGTACAGTACCAGTCAAAAGTTTTAGAACACCTACTTATTCAAGGGTTTTTCTTTATTTTGACTATTTTCTACATTGTAGAATAATAGTGAAGACATCAAAACTATGAAAGAACACATATGGAATCATGAGTAACCAAAAAAGTTACTTTTCTGTATAGATTTTAGATTCTTCAAAGTAGCCACCATTTGCCTTGATGACAGCTTTGCACACTCTTGGCATTCTCTCAACCAACTTCACCTGGAATGCTTTTCCAACAATCTTGAAGGAGTTCCCACATATGTCGAGCACTTGTTGGCTGCTTTTCCTTCACTCTGCGGTCCAACTCATCCCAAACCATCTCAACTGGGTTGAGGTCGGGGGATTATGGAGGCCAGGTCATGTGATGCAGCACTCTATCACTGTCCTTCTTGGTCAAATAGCCCTTACACAGCCTGGAGGTGTGTTGGGTCATTGTCCTGTTGAAAAACAAATGATAGTCCCACTAAGCCCAAACCAGATGGGATGGCGTATCGCTGCAGAATGCTGTGGTAGCCATGCTGGTTAAGTGTGCCTTGAATTCTAAATAAATCACTGACAGAGTCACCAGCAAAGCTCCCCAACACAATCACACCTCCTCCTCCATGCTTCACGGTGGGAACCACACATGCGGAGATCATCCGTTCACCTACTCTGCGTCTCACAAAGACATGGCGGTTGGAACCAAAACTCAAAAATTTGGACTCATCAGGCCAAAGGACAGATTTCCACTGGTCTAATGTCCATTGCTTGTGTTTCTTGGCCCAAGCAAGTCTCTTCTTACTATTGGTGTCCTTTAGTAGTGGTTTCTTTGCAGCAATTCGACCATGAAGGCCTGTAGCTCAGTTGGTAGAGCATGGCGCTTGCAACACCAGGGTTGTGGGTTCGATTCCCACAGGGGGCCAGTATGAAAAATTTATGCACTCACTAACTGTAAGTCGCTCTGGATAAGAGCGTCTGCTAAAATGACTAAAATGTAAATGTAATTCACGCAGTCTCCTCTGAATAGTTGATGTTGTGAAGCATTTATTTGGGCTGCAATCTGAGGTGCAGTTAACTCTAATTAACTTATCCTCTGCAGCAGAGGTAACTCTGGGTCTTCCTTTCCTGTGGCGGTCCTCATGAGAGCCAGTTTTATCATAGCACTTGATGGTTTTTGCGACTGCACTTGAAGAAACTTTCAAAGTTCTTGACATTTCCCAGATTGACTGTCCTTCCTGTCTTAAAGTAATGATGGACTGTCGTTTCTCTTTGCTTATTTTAGCTGTTCTTGCCATAATATGGACTTGGTCTTTTACCAAATAGGGCTATCTTCTGTATACCACCCCTACCTTGTCAAAACACAACTGAATGGCTCAAACGCATTAAGGAAATTCCACAAATTAACTTTTAACAAGGCACACCTGTTAATTGAAATGCAATCCAGGTGACTACCTCATGAAGCTGGTTGAGAGAATGCCAAGAGTGTGCAAAGCTGTCATCAAGGCAAAGGGTGGCTACTTTGAAGAATATGAAATATAAAATATATTTTCATTTGTTTAACACTTTTTTGGTTACTACATGATTCCATATGTGTTATTTTATAGTTTTGATGTCTTCACTATTATTCTACAATGTAGAAAATAGTAAAAAATAAAGAAAAACCATTGAATGAGTAGGTGTGTCCACATTTTTGACTGGTACTGTACATGAAAGTGGTGTCAGTGTATGCAACTGTGCGTGGGGTGATTGGTGCAAATACCAGACGCATTTCTGTGCATCATGCAGTGTGTGTGTGTGTGCGCAGTGTGTGTCCAGTGGCCTCACCATGATGGCGATATAGTGGCGGTACTGCAGGGGCAGGGGGCCGTCCATGTGGAGGATGTAGTGCTGGGTGCGGAGGAAGCTCTCCAGGTACTGGGGGTGAGAGGCCATCTGCTGGGACACGGTGTCCACACACCCCCTGCTGGCCAGAGCCTTCATACACCGCAGCGACACCCGCTCCTTCTCAGCGTTCACCTTCATCACCTGGACAGGACCAGAGGAAGAGGAGGGTGAGACAGGTGGCAGAGACAATGTCACTGACAATGCACACAGCAACTAGGTCTATGCTACGATTCATCCTTGCCAGGTTAAAATCTACGTTTTTTAACAAAATGGGTAATAAAATAATTGCCAGATTTTCCACAAGCCTATTTTAGAGAGGTTTGCTTATGTGGCAGGCAGGCTGACAGATAGCCTCTGTTTTGATGGTCCCTATGGTGTCAGCCTACAGTGAGATCAGCATGTGAATTGCAGGCAGGTCAGGACTGTGGATTATGAACTTTGAATCAACCTTCGATAGGAGCCTTCTTATAACCGCAGCAGAGATATTGTACCACTAGACATTCCTCACAATATTCCCCTGCAAAACACAAACAAACAAGGCCGCTCTGCACACTTTTCAGGCAGAGACAGACTTGCTCGTAAAGAAAAGAGCTCAGCATCCCACACAGTCACAGTACCAGGTGAGTATCAACCAAAAGACAAACAGATCATGTCATAGGAGGATGCAATGAGACTACAGTGAATTAAGAGTGATACCCTGAATAATGCCAGAACTGCTCAAAGTCCTCCATTTTTAAAATTAGTTGAGAAGAGCAGAGGAACTTGGGTGTATGGGGGATTGTAAGGCTGGAACTGAATGAGGCCTCATTGAGGGAAGAACCACAGCAATGAAGGAGGAAAGTCAAAAACGACAGAGAGAGACTGGCTGGGGAGGAGGAGAGCCACTGGCCAATAGAAACATGGACTCATAGAGAGAGAGACTGGCTGGGGAGGAGGAGAGCCACTGGCCAATAGAAACATGGACTCATAGAGAGAGAGACTGGCTGGGGAGGAAGAGAGCCACTGGCCAATAGAAACATGGACTCATAGAGAGAGACTGGCTGGGGGAGGAGAGCCACTGGCCAATAGAAACATGGACTCATAGAGAGAGACTGGCTGGGGAGGAGGAGAGCCACTGGCCAATAGAAACATGGACTCATAGAGAGAGACTGGCTGGGGAGGAGGAGAGCCACTGGCCAATAGAAACATGGACTCATAGAGAGAGACTGGCTGGGGAGGAGGAGAGCCACTGGCCAATAGAAACATGGACTCAGAGAGAGAGAGACTGGCTGGGGAGGAGGAGAGCCACTGGCCAATAGAAACATGGACTCAGAGAGAGAGACTGGTCATAGAGGCTAAAATACATTTATTACCTCTCATACAACTGCTTCTAGGAAAAGGTGTTGGCACCGGGCCGGAAATGTTGGCACCAGTGCGTGAAATGTGAGAGGGCAGCTTACCTAGGGGCCAAGTGGCTAAGCAGCTTCTGCTGGCAGAGCCTGGTGTTCTCAGTAACCCACCACTGTGGAGAGTTATGTCTCCCCTCATACCAAAGGTATATCTATATCAGCTAAATATTGGTGGGTGGCAGCGATGGTGATTGGCGATGGTCGTTATGTAGTTCCAACACCTCACGTAATAGCTCCTTGGCATTTAGCCCCATGTTAGCATATCTCACTGGCTCATAAAAACGCTTCACTTCATGCCTTACCCAGCAGGTGGCGCTGCTCTTCCTCCAACATTAGGTACAAAGACTTTCCAATATTAAATTAATACACTTTATTTATTTTTATTTATTTATTTATTTTGCAGACGCTCTTATCCAGAGCAACTAGGGTTAAGTACCTTGCTCAAGGGCACATCGACAGATTTTTCACCTAGTCGGCTCGGGGATTAGAACCAGCAACCTTTCGGTTACTGCCACAACGCTCTTAACCACTCAGCTACTTGCCGCCCCTACATCTCCTCCAATATTTTGCTGGATGTCAAGAAGGGGAACAGGATAGGCCTAGGGGGTTTAAACACTCAGCTGACATCCCCATGGCATTCATTATTAAATGTGCATTCCATTTCTATGGCCTTCAAGTATACAAGTCCTCATTCACGATGACCTTAGTCCTTTTTATCACCATGTAACAGCTATTGACTGCAATGTGTCAATCTCACGGTAGTCCTAGATAGAGCGTGCATGGTAAGGATGTGTGGAGGCCTTTGAAGAGAGAACAAATGTAAGCGGTTCAGTGACAGAGAGCATAGCAAACAGGAGAGAAAGATCTGACATGCAGACTTGGATCCTGACCTACTTGCCTACTTTCAAGGAACATGGGAGCTCAACTCTATGACATGGGCCTCGCCTGTCTAATATCAATGTCTTTGGCACTGGCCTCTGTCACTCACACAATGTCAACCCTACACGTATGCCCCCACAACTCTGTGCCTGCATGGCTGCTGATTTGTGGCCCCACGTTCCATATCAGTGTTCTGTCTGGCTTCAACAAACAAGCCTCAGAGAGCAATAAAAGTCCCACTCTTTAGGAGCTCAGTCTAACCAAGTCTCCATGGGTGTTTTGAGGTACTTTCTGAGAATCAAGTTCTATACAAGTGAATGAAACACTTGAATTTACATTTCAGTGAGGGGGGGGGGGGGGGGGAATCATGTCAGGGCTCTGTCAGGCTTTAAAGTCTGTCTCATAAACATCCTGCTGAGGCGCTGTGGCCATGACACCACATTATTAATGTGTGTTATTAATATGTCAGACCGATGCGTTGAAGCTGGAATGACAACAATCCAGACCAGTCAGCCAAATGGAACCCCATTCCCAACCAGGATGCTACGAGCCTCAGAGTCCATGTCCCACTCCCCCTGTAAATATATCACAGTTCAGCAGGGCCCGATAACCAAGCATGATTAAAAACAGCCTCCCAGAGTTGCAGTAAAGACAAATGCGTTCAGCACCTCTCAACAGGCCAGTCACCATTTACCTGATAGCTCTGTAGGTCAACATAATCAAGCATGCTAGCAGATACCATAGACTTCCAGTCATTGTGCTAACGCTAGTTAACACTGGCTTGCAAAACTACCTTTAACTTCCTTCATACTGGACACCGAGACATAAAAATGGTATCCACGACTTAATCTGACTCTGGAGAAGTAGATAAAGGGCCTCATTGCCAAAATCCAGAAGTATCCCTTTAAGTTACAGTATGAGAGAACCTGTATGGAAGGTGTCACTGGCAAACATACAGGCATGGTGAGTGACCTGCTTCAGAAGACATGGAACTAGTCATTCTGTTCACCATTGTTGGAATTCTGCAATCGTTCACTAATAATTCAAACCAGACAAGAAAATCTCAGACACTTTAAACTATCACAACGGCATACATTTTCTATATGGTACAATCACTCTACTCAGATCTCTTGGCATGCTCTAATAGGGAAATTCATCTCCAACATGTTCCATTATAGAAAGTAGTCTAGTCAAACTAAAACAGGAACCAACATCCTTTCATCAGTCCCAGGGAAGAAATGACACATTAATGAGTCGCACATCAATTCTGCTGACTCTTAACACATTTGTATTTATGTATGTATAGCCCAACTAACAAGTGGCACAAAATAAAAATACGTAGCTAATGTACAACTACACTACACAAAAATATAAACGCAACATGTAAAAGTGCTGGTCCCATGTTTCATGAATTGAAATAAAAGATCCCACGCCAGCCCAGGACCTCTACATCCATTTTCTTCACCTGCGGGATCGTCAGTTTGGCTGGGCCTTGCTCCCCAGTGGGTAGGCCTTGCTCCCAAGTGGGTGGACCTATGGCCTCCCAGGGCCACCCATGGCTGCGCCCCTACCCAGTCATGTGAAATCCATTTAATAGGGCCTAATTTATTTATTTAAATTGACTGATTTCCTTATATGAACTGTAACTCAAACTCTTTGAAATTGTTGCGTTTATATTTTTGTTCAGTATAAATGAGTAAAAAATGATGAAATCAACTGAAAGGCCCTCTAGGCGCAAGTCAACTGCTATAGGCTAATCAAGGGAATTAACACATAGGCCTATATAGACTTGCCATATTGATTGCAACAGCATATAATCTCAAAGTGTAAAGGCAGAGACTAATAACATGCACGGGGATGACTGAGTGTTTCATAGAGCAGACTGCTGTATTGTATTAAGTGGGGAAGGTTGAGAGGCTGTAATTCAGCTGAAAGCCTTTCAATAAAGTATTGTCCTGACGAAGGCCTCTAACTCCCTGGGTCTCTGCAGAGGTTAACACGATTTGAAATGCAAAAATTTACCACATCATCCATCCTGACCCTGGTCCCTGCTGCAGAGGGAAACGCATTTGTTTATTGATCGGAGAACATCACAAGGTAGAAACGAGATGCAAAGGATAGTGGCAGTGGTGAGGGGAGGAAGAAACAAACAAAGACATGGAAAAGGGGATGGGAAACAGGCGATTATAAACTGGGTGGTTCGAGCCCTGAATGGTGATTGGCTGACAGCCGTGGTATTTCAGACCGTATACCACGGGTATGACAAAACATTTATTTTTACTGCTCTAATTACGTTGGTAACCCGTTTATAATAGCAGTAAGGCACCTCGGGGGTTTGTGGTATATGGCCAATATACCATGTCTAAGGGCTGTGTCCAGGCACTGCGATGCGTCGTGCATAAGAACAGCCCTTAGCCGTGGTATATTGGCCATATACCACATCCCTTTGTGCCTTATTGCTTAAATAGACAATGGCCTATAAATTGTGGAGTATGAAATAAAAAATGGGAAGTATGCGGAGATGACCAAGGAAAAGAGAACAAAGAGTAGAAAAATAATGCAAGTAATGGTTCAAAGGGTAAATGTGACAGCGGGAGGGAGCGGATGAGGTAGTACAAGGGGCTGCAGGGGAGGGGGTTCGCTGCAGATGGAGGAGGAGATAGATGGATATTCTATTTGCATTCCAAGTGAGCCTGAAGGTGTCTGTCCTTGTCATGCGCTGCTCTGCTAGTGTCGAGTCCAGGCTGCCTGCCTTTAACACACTCGTCCCTCTTCACCGGAAACACAAATGGTGAGCTCTGTTTTTGGCTCTGCAAACTGAACCGAGGGAAGTGTGCAAAACAGCCAGCTGCAGCCCACAGGAGGAGGGGGAGGGGTGAGCTGGGCAGGACAGTAGCCATAGAAGACCCACAAACATACCAGGCTACAAATGGAGAGACACAGGCAAACATACATGTATAACACACAAAAAAAAACCTGAAATAATATGACAGGCAGGTAGAACCAGATTATATGGTGACATGAGACAGACAGCTGAGCATAGACAGGAAACACAAGTCCTAATGCACACAAGGTATTTCAGAATTCAGGTTACTTTATTTGCTTGATCTAGTCCTCTTTTGTAACCTGGTTAGTTACATTCATACCCCCCACACACACTTTTCAACCCTCTCTCTGCCTCTTTTTCAAACTAGAAGCATGCCTAATATGCTGACAAAACACACATGAAACATTCATGGACATTCAGATAGCTAGCTCTTGCTAGCTAGCTTGTCCTGGGAGATAAACATTGGGTTGTTATTTTACCCGTCATGCACATGGTCATACAAAATCGTGTTTCTCTACTCTGACATTTAATCCACAGATAAAAAGTGAAACCTAGCTAGTTTTAGCTATCTTTAATCTCTCCTCCTCTGTCTTTCAAGCATCCAGGTGGGTTTGTATCTTCCTGATACCCAATAAGGAGGGGACTTGCAGTGCTTGGCGTGTATCAAATAGAACCAAGTTATATTTTAGCACTTGGCTACGCAGACGCGATCGAGCAGTGTGGGTGAAATGATTGAATAATGTGTGTACATTTATTTTGCAACGCTCACACACACACACAACGTGGCCGGTGGGGTTTGTATGTAAGAATGACCAATTCATATCAATGCCAGCAGATAAGACTGTTTTTAACACCTGACATTTATCTGTGGCACTTTTATTGACTGGATATAAGGTAGTAAGGGGAGAAACATAGTCTAGGAGGTGGCCCTACTTTGGGCCAGTGTGCACACTTTATGGCCAGCTTATTTATGATGTTTTTGGTTCTGCACAAAGAACACCCAAAAGCATGATGCAACAATATGCCTGTTGTTTTCTCACCAGAGCTGCAACAAATGTCCAAATGGTAAACCTCAGATAGGATCTTGTTTATTCAAATGAAAAATATACATCCCACGCTTCTGTCTAGTCAAATCTGCAAATGGGTAGGTAGGCTATTCATCACATTTTTGTGTATGACAGGTTTGGTGCAGGAGGTAAATGTGGCACATCTGACATATACATGGCATTGAAGAAAGCCTAGGTCTAAACCCCTATATGCAAGTGTAGGTACAGGTCAAATATAATTTTACATCAAATATTAAGGAATGCATGTCACAGCACATTCCTCTCTTGTTCAAGCTACTTCTGAATGTTGAATCGCAGTAAACAAGTTATCCTATCCGCACTGTCCCCTATCGGCTGTACATGGAAAAACAGCACAGAAAAGAGAAAAACAACTTTGATTGGCAGTGCACCCAGCATCACTGCACACAAAGAATTCAAAATCTTAGTGAAAAAAGACACACAAAACAAATATATTTACCAGACGTTTGACATTATGACAGAGGACAATGCATTAGGCCGATTGAAACTGAAGAATAAAACTGCTCCTTGAATTCTGATTGTCAACGACGGCCTTTGTTCGTTAGCAAGCCAACTAGATTCTTTGCAACTCGTCAGAACAGACTGCCAAAATGATGGAATAACATTGCATTAGCGGACACTTTTTTTCTGCAAGTGCAAATCTCTACAAAAGATGTCAATATCGCATTCTCCCACAAAAAGAGTAGGCGGCTGATAGCCATCAAACCTAGACTGCAAATATAGCTACAATCATAATGCAAAGACATCACGAAGAAAAGTATTGCCTAGTTTGCAGATTAACAGGTTAGTTTTTACTATCCAGTTAACGTTAGCTAGTTGTCAATCCATTATGGCAACATTCTAGGACTAGGTGACCACTCGATCCTTTTAGTTTAGTTGAATAGATATGTCTAAACCATTTTTCAACAACAGCAAATGTTCATTCATTGACTGTGACTGACAAAGCAAAATTCTTGACAGCTTGTTATCTTCCCCTCAAGAAGTCCCCATAGCCAGCTAGCTATCTCAATTAAATGACAATCTATAATTACTATTGGCATTGCATTGTTGGTACTTTGGCTAGTTAACGTGATTTACCTAACTATTTCAGAGATAAGAAACAATAGTTAGCTAGCTGGACATTGCTTTGGCCAGTTGGCTCAGAAGAACCGTTAGTTAGCTAGCTAACGTTACACCCCTTGGCTAGTAAACTAGCTAGCTAACTTAATAGCCATCTGTTAGTTAGCTGCTCACCTGCCCCTTGTCAACTCCTGTCATCTAACGCTAGCTAGCTAGCTAGTCATCAAATCCGTTGTCTGAGTTAGCAAGGCAGTTAGCTAGTTAGTTAGCCATTTTATGTCGACAAACTAGCTAGTAGGACATTAAAACAATTAGTTAGCTAGCTAAAGCAAAAGTTTCTCGATACAAAAAAATCCAACCTCATCAAGGAATATGAAGTAGCGTTAACGTTAGTTCTGGAGCTAACTCTAGCTAACAGTTTCGTGAGAGACAAAACTGCCACAAGTTTTTCAGGGCAAAATGAATGAACGACACAGTCGATGGAACTTTATTAGTAGCCAGTTAACGTTAATCATAAATTGGAACGTTGACTGGCTTTTTAGTAGTTAAGTCAAGAAGAATACCTGCTTCTGGACGCGCTGACATTGGGTTCCGAGAGGGTAATCCATTTGTTTCATAAAGATTATCATTTTCCAAGTAATTAGTGCATGGATACGGCTCTATCTCTCTTGATGTTCACCTACCCAGCTGACAAAGCAGTGTCACTACAAGTCTAGGCATTTAGCTAGAGGAGAAAAAAACTTGCCGTGCACTGACAGCTCCAGTAACAGTGTGCCCAATCAAAGCATAGAGAGGCAGTGTAAAGAGTAGGGTCCGTGCAAATGCTAAAGGCCAATCAATTTACAGAGATGGCATTTAAGGCTTCAACTCTTTCACTGAAAGGCTGATATGAAAGTAAATTACTGCTAGCTATGCTGGTGGAAAAATTTTTTTGATCCATTCAACGTTGAGATCAATTTGCAGTGTGTTTTTCTTTATTATTCCACAATCCACAGAGAGGAAAGCCAGAAATCAAAATTACCTCTCACAGGGCCTACTCCAGTCCCTACTGGGTCCAAAATACATTTGTCTCATATAGGGCCCTGAATAAAAAGAAACGCAAGTGATGTATGGGTATATGCTTACCCAAGCTTGACATCAGCAGGAGTGTTTGTAGGTGGGTGTATGAGAGAGAGAGAGAGAGAGAGAGAGGGAGAAGAGAGAGAGAGAAGGGAGCATTGGTATGTTGATAGGTCGAGGATAGATGACATCATAGCCCGCCGATACTGATACAGTAATTCAGAGAAAAACAGTGGATGTATGAAACAAAATAGAGGAACAGAAGATTGTCCTAAAAAAGGAACATATGCATGCATCAGGTAATGTCATAAGAAACGATTCCCTGAAATGTCGGAAGAAAAGGAAAGCAACCAAGTTCTAATCACCATACGATACCAAAGTCCACTGCATCTGTAACAAATTACTTGCCTAATTGGCTTAAAGAAGTTTTCTACAAATAATAGAACTATCCATCATAAGATATTCTCTAATGTGAAATTGTTCCATGACAATCAACACAAGGAAAACAATCATATCATAATTAATCACCAAGTTGAAACCCAAGCTATTGATTGTCTATCTTTAGTGATCCTAGTGTTGAACTTGCAAATGCTATAAGCGAATACATCATATTGATATTAAAGTAAAAAAGTATGGTCACATTTCATTTGCTCTGTTAAACCTACCCTTTTGTAATGACTTTGATAGCAACAGTGAATATTTAGTTTTTAAGTGGAGAGCTCTCAACAATCATTCTCACGATAGCACATTGGTAATAGTCAGTGCCAAATATCAAAGCTGGGCTTGGTTAAAGCCCTGGATGGGAGACCAAAGGGTAGCTGTAGATAGATCAACTCTCCAGTAGGAGGTGCTGCGTAGGCAATTTTTCTCCCCGATGGATATAACTGTGAAGATCTGACATTGTTTTAACGGTACAAATTCAACATATTGTATACAATGTTTGTCTATGTTGAAATTTGGTTACCATGATGACATAATCCTGTGGTTGAAATGTCACCCTTAAAACAACAGTTGATTACTTTTTTTCAAATCTAATGTATTTTCCATGTAGATTCCACGTCACAATACGTTGACAAATTATGTTGAAACAATGTTGATTCAGCCAGTTTGTGCCCTGTGGGATGGCTATTATTACAAAATTAAAATGGAATGGGCTCAGAGAAGTGTAAGCTGAAACATCTTTCTTCTTCACCTGTATAGTTATTCATATCTTCATCCTTACATGTTTGGCTTGGGACTTGTTTCACTTTGGTAAAACAACAAGTCAAGTCTGTAAGGGCATGTCCAGGCATGTTTGACCCACTGAGCTATATATTTTTGACCAGCCAGCCATCTAGAGAGGTAACTAATTCATTATATACAGATAACCATTAACAACACAAAAGTGGTTAAAAAGCAGTAATAAAACACACATCTGAGATTGTTGCTTCAACTTCTAATAGGTTAATGGGTGGTATTTTATTTTATTTATTTATTGATATTAAATTATTACATAAAATCTCGCCCTTTCATAGCACTGTCAGCAGGGCCCCAGGGGGGACTCTAGCTGAGGAGTGCTCTTGCCTGTCTGTATTTAGTAAGTTTGTCTCAGAGCCTGACGTGCTCTCCAACCTGGAGAAAACCAATATCTCAGAGCACCACTGGGATTATACTATTTTGGTTGGACAATAAATTATATCAGTCCCTTAAAGAGAGCCAATCTTTGTCAAACTAGATCAAGATTCTACTGCAGCAATGTCCTCAATCCATATAACTGAATGTGAGGCCTAGTATAAAGTAGTTGTTGTGTAAAAAAATCTATGTATATTTACTGTTCAAATAAACACATTTGAGAGAGAGGACCAATATTCTGGCATATGTCATCAGAGCCACAGAGCTAATACAGACTTGTGAAAAATATAACCCTTTTTCCCCCTGCCTCTCCAACTTGGCCAAGAAGTGGGTGGGCCCCGTCTGTAAATGCCAGGTTAAATCACAGCCATCCCATGGTTCCCTGCTACTGTGGTCTGGAAATAAACAAGTATCATTGCTCTCTCCCCAAACATGTGATATCAACTAATGACTATTGTGTTCAAATGATTATTTTATTGACCTTCTGCCCCCTTGTTGCTTTAAGCTTGGACTAACTCAGTCCACACACAGGTATTGGCTCCCGAGTGGCGCAGCAGTCTAAGGCACTGCATCTCAGTGCTTGAGGCGTCACTACAGACCCCCTGGTTTGATTCCAGGCTGTATCACAACCGGCCGTGATTGGGAGTCCCATAGGGCGGCGCACAATTGGCCCAGCGTCGTCCGGGTTTGGCCGGTGTAGGCCGTCATTGTAAATAAGAATTTGTTCTTAACTGACTTGCCTAGTTAAATAAAGGATAAATAAAATAAATAAAAATAAATTGAATGAATAGTGCTTTTGTCCTAAACAGTAATCTGGGCAACAATCGAATATGTCCTGCTAGATTTACAATGTTTTTGCTCCCACAAGACATACACATTCCCTCATAATTCACTACCTTCTGTAGCATTTGCTGTTGATAAAATACTATTTTTATCAACAGCAAAAAGGTGGTTATTGAGTATTTATTTTGTTTTTTTGTTACTGCAATGTTGAAAGAAGATCTTGCAAGTACATCATTGTAGCATTTCATTGTACCTTTTACACCCTGCTGTATCCTGTGCATAAAACGAATAAACTCTGATTTATGTAAATGTAATTCTATCTAAAGATTTTACATGTGGTTTGTTTTATTGCCAAAAGTAGCTTCTCACACTCTTGGCCTCCCTCAGGAGCAATACGTCATAAGCAACAAAGCTGAGGTAGAGAAGAGAGGTGAGGTGAGAGACCTACAGGGAGTGTGAGTGTGAAAGGTGACCGTTTACTTCAAGGGAACATCCAAGGTCTGAATATTTTCCAAGTATGTCACTGCAACAAACAGTCATTAGAAATGGTAGTTAGCTCTTTGTTTGGTTTATGTTCTGGAAGGATGAGGCTACCGCATTTCACTGGACCTCTGTTTAACTTTGTTCATTAGCTGTTACATTAAGGTCAATATTCATTCTCTCATCCCCATCTGAGGGTGAAGTAGCTGAATATTCATTGAGGGAACAGATATCAATATCATCAGCGTCCACTTGTTTTTCTAGAACATGAAGTTGACTAAGATCTTGGGCCTCATATGGGTCTATAATATCAGGAGTTATTGCCATGGACTGAGTCATCTGTTCAGGGAGTCAATCAACTACCAGTGAATGGCGAAAGGGAGATAGTACCCAATATTCACCCCCATTAATGATGACAGCTCACAATCATTGTGGCCCCAGTTCCACTGGGAGAGGGGACTGGTGTACAAGCATTCTCATTCTACAGCTGGTAAAAACACATCCAGGCACACAAAACAAGCTCAGAGCAATGACAAGTCAGCCTTGTTAGCACACCCCTTAGAGCTGAAATATAATATATAGTATATAATATAGCTAGAAATATGTCACTGAAATTGCACCAGCCTGAAATATTTATTTCACCTCGCACATGTAAATACCATGACATATTTCATATGACTACTTTTACCTCGCACATGTAAATACCATGACATATTTTATATGACTTTACTTTGAAATGTTTGAATATCCTTTGAATGTGCTAGATTTAATAGTTGTTATGGTTGGAGAAACTAGAGAGGAGAAAAGCTGAGCTGCTAGATTCTAACTCCTGAATACATATTAGATTAACACACAGTTATGTCCACAAAAACATCATGTGATAGCCATTTAGGCAGACACGCATGACCCGTCTGAACCAGATAACTCTAATCTACATAATCAGAATAGAGCGCAACCTTTCCACAATTGAACTGGAGGGGCAATTTCATAGGTGAAAAATTAGATGTTAGAACATTCCATGAGAGGTCAAGTCTAAATATAAAACTTCAGTTTCTTATTATGATGTGAAAGGGCTGCATAAAGCTGTCATTTGGTCTCAACGAATCTGATAGGAACCTGATCAAGCTGTTTTACAGCAAAGGGCACAGACTTATAAAACGTATTGTCATAGTTAATAACCCCATTAACCCATCTCCTAAATTCATGAAGTGATGTAAGTATTACATGGCATGCTAAATCATGATTTCATAAACAATGTTCGGATTTACTACAGCAAGAATGGATATTTGCTGGATAAAAAGAGAAATAGCGTATACACTGAGTGTACAAAACATTAAGAATACCTGCTCTTTCCATGACAGACTGACCAGGTGAATCCAGGTGAAAGCTATGGTCTCTTATTGATGTCACTTGTTAAATCCACTTCAAATCCGTGTAGATGAAGGGAAGGAGACAGGTTAAATAAGGATGTTTAAGCCTTGAGACAATTGAGACATGGATTGTGTATGTGTGCCATTCAGAGGGTGAATGGGCAAGACAAAATATTTAGTGCCTTTGAATGGAGTATGGTAGTAGGTGCCAGGCACACCGGTTTGAGTGTGTCAAGAACTACAACGATTTCATGCTCAAAAGTTTCCTGTGTGTATCAAGAATGGTCCAACACCCAAAGGACAGCCTGCCAACTTGACACAACTGTGGGATGCTTTGGAGTCAACATGGGCCACCATCCCTGTGGAACGCTTTTGACATCTTGTAGAGTCCATGCCCCGATTAATTGAGGCTGTTCTGAGGGCAAAAGGGGGTGCAACTCAATATTAGGAAGGTGTTCCCAATGTTTTTTACACTCAGTGTATATTGCTTGCTCTTGTATATACAGTGTAGATGTTCTAGAGATTGGGTAAATCAAATCTCAATCAAAGAGAAGAATCACACAGCAAGCATTCCGAATCAGACAATGGCATGTAAAATGGATTGTTTATATTACAAACACTTTCTAAATGATGTCTAGATTCTCAATGTAACCTTTTACAAGAACAGCTCAGCTGTTTCTCTTTCTTCCCTATTTTTCCACAGTATTCAGCAAGTGGTTAGGCCATCTGCAAGACACAGCTGCATGGCCTGACACAGTGGCCCTATTCAAATACTTCTAACATGCATCCTTCTTCTTTTTCTTGAGGTAATCACTTTGGAAAGAACCGAAGAAGTACAGTACTTGTTTCAGTTTGGGGAATAAACCAGTTGAGAAAGAGGTAAGACAATGAAAACTAAACTTAAAATGGCACTTCTACACAAAATCCCAAAGGCCTTTGTTCCTCAAACATTATTGGGCCTTCCACAGACATACGCTAACAGTCAAAAGTTTGGACACACCTACTCATTCAAGGGTTTTTCTTTATTTTTACATTGTAGAATAATAGCGAAGACATCAAAACTATGAAATAACACATATGTAGTAACCAAAAAAGTGTTCAACAAATCAAAATATATTTTTGATTTTTGATTCTTCAAATAGCCACCCTTTGCCTTGATGACAGCTTTGCACACGCTTGGCATTCTCTCAACCAGCTTCATGAGGTAGTCACCTGTAATGCATTTCAATTAACAGGTGTGCCTTGTTAAAAGTTAATTTGTGGAATTTCTTTGCTTCTTAATGCATTGTGTTGTGACAAGGTAGGGGGGGGGGTATACAAAAGATAGCCCTATTTGGTAAAAGACCAAGACCATATTATGGCAAGAACAGCTCAAATAAGCAAAGAGAAACGACAGTCCATCATTACTTTAAGACATGAAAGTCAGTCAATACACAACATTTCAAGAACTGAAAGTTTCTTCAAGTGCAGTCGCAAAAACCATTAAGCGCTCTCATGAAGACCGCAACAGGAATGGAAGGCCCAGAGTTACCTCTGCTGCAGAGGATAAGTTCATTAGAGTTACCAGCCTCAGAAATTGCAGCCCAAATAAATGCTTCACAGAGTTCAAGTCACAAACTGTGGGACTGTGTGAATCAGGCCTTCATTGTCGAATTGCTGCAAAGAAACCACTACTAAAGGACACCAATATGAAGAAGAGAGCTGCTTGGGCCAAGAAACACAAGCAATGGACATTAGACCAGTGGAAATGTGTCCTTTGGTCTGGAGTCCAAATTGGAGATTTTTGGTTCCAACCGCTGTGTCTTTGTGAGCACGGTGTGGGTGAACGGATGATCTCCGCATGTGTAGTTCCCACCGTAAAGCATGGAGGAGGAGGTGTTATGATGTGGGGGTGCTTTGCTGGTGACACTGCCTGTGATTTATTTAGAATTCAAGGCACACTTAACCAGCATGGCTTCCACAGCATTCTGCAGCGATACGCCATCCCATCTGTATTGTGCTTAGTGGGACTATCATTTGTTTTTCAACAGGACAATGACCGAACACACCTCCAGGCTGTGTAAGGGCTATTTTACCAAGAAGGAGAGTGATGGAGTACTGCATCAGATGACCTGGCCTCCACAATCCCCCGACCTCAACCCAGTTGAGATGGTTTGGGATGAGTCGGACGGCAGAGTGAAGGAAAAGCAGCCAACAAGTGCTCAGCATATGTGGGAACTCCTTCAAGACTGTTGGAAAAGCATTCCAGGTGAAGCTGGTTGAGAGAATACTAAGTGTGTGCAAAGCTGTCATCAAGGCAAAGGGTGGCTATTTGAAGAATTTCAAATGTAAAATATATATTGATTTGTTTAACACTTTGTTGGTTACTACATGATTCCATATGTGTTATTTCATCGTTTTGATGTCTTCACTATTATTCTACAATGTAGAAAGTAGTAAAAATAAAGAAAAACCCTTGAATGAGTAGGTCTGTCCAAACTTTTGACTGGTACTGTACATTAAGAAAATAACCCAGTGATTCTAGGAAGGGAAGTTATCTGTTATGAAAACCATCTGATCCAGGCCTGTAAATAATTTAGAAGATGGTAAACCACAAACACTGGGAGGAACCACCTGCTGACATTTCACCCACGACTTCCTGTTTCAAAGTGCCAAGCCACCCACCAGAGGTGGCTAAATAAACCTTTAGAGGAGAGAATGGCACACTGTCACACCGCTCAGTCAGTCCCTCAGGCAGCTAACACCAACATACCACCCCTAATTTAAGTTCACTCACTGGTCAAGGGAAATTCATTTCAAGATAAATGAAATTCTGATAAAGCCTCAAAAATTTAAACTGTGCATGTTGAACATATTGCAAGACACATAATTATTGCAACAACACCTCAACACCTGTTGAGCAAAGCAAGATTCAAAGACACATAACAAAACTCTTACTCTTGGAAAATAAACACTGATGTCAGAGCTTCAGTCACGATTTCACACCCTTTCTAAATATACTCATTCCAATTCAGTCATTTCCATCCAATTTTCCCAACTGGTAAAGCTTGGTAACAAACAGGTATTCATACCCACCAATCACAGAAGCAGAAGGTGACATCATCTAAAACTCTCTTCCTTTCAGAGCATAAAGTGTATTAGACATGGGAGTGTAACAATTGGATAAGAGATTTCTATTTAGATCTATAGTCATAAGCTATTTAAAATACAGGCAGCGCCAAAAGTATTGGGGCAGTGACTATTTTTGTTGTTGTTTTGGCTCTGTACTACAGCACTTTGTCTTTTAAATGATATAATGACTATGAGGTTAAAGTGCAGACTGTCAGCTTTAATTTCAAACCCAGAAATGTACCCTATACAATCCAAGGTATTACAGGCTCTGGTTTGTTTTGATTGTGGTCACACAATAATCCCAGGATTGTCATGTTGATCAAGAGTTCCAAGAAGGATTCGATTTTTCAGAAACTCCCACATGCTGTTTTCGTGATGACCGTATTATTCAACCCTAATGACCATTGGCTAGCATAGACTTAGATAGACTCAGGGTCCACTTTATTATATTTCCACATTTATATGCACATAAATGATTATAAAATGGATAGGTTCTCTCAGTTCCTGCTCCTCCTGCCTCCAGTCCGGCGATTGGAGGCTTCGTCATCAGGGGTGTCCATATGTACGGCACGGCCCCGGCCCTTAGTCTGTGTGGGTTGGGTCTGAGAGGGCGCCTCTGTGGCTCTGCGGTCCTCCTGAGAGTGGAGCTGTCTGAGACGAGCCCTCTCCAGGCTGTCAGTCTGAGTCTGTAGGGTCTCTGATACACATACAAACAGGAACAACATATGTACACACGCTAAGACAGAGGGTAAACAAAAAAATCCTCCAGAATACACACATGAACTACTTTAAGTGAATGCACACACATAATTAACAAGCAGAGTGTATTGTTACCTAGAAGTGCAGGGTCTGGGTTGACCACTAAGGGGGTAATGGAAACATAGGCATCATCCTTTGGATTTCCTGATAAGATAAACATATACTTCAAATCAAAGAAGAGCCATGTATAGAAACTCCTTTTTGGCAATTATGAATAGTTTCATAGAGGCCTTGTCCACTCTATTGGTTCTACTTCTATTATGTTTAGAACTCACGATTAACATTGCAGAATGTGAGGGAGCAGCGGGGAGGAAGTAGTCGGCTGGCACACTCCTGAGGCTGCTGGGACAGAAAGAGAAGCTTCAGAGCCCCACGGTCATCACACAGATCCACCAGCTCTGAAACACGTGCACACGCACACGCACACACACACATTTAAGACAAATCTATCCGTATGTAGAGAAAGAGACAAAACTGGTTGAATATCTAACATAACATAAAGGTGGCTGATGAGGGGGAGGGCCAGAGTGCAGGATTTACTACTGATAGCCTTGCGGTAGTCACACCCACTCATCAGCAAGCCCCATTAGACTCTGTGCTAATGAGAGTGGTAATGATAGTTTCATTAGTCGAGGAGGCTTGCTCTGGGCCTAGCGACAACACAGTGGTAAGTGTGGCAGGACCCAGCAGGTGTAAGCAGACACCCTTCGAGTTGAGCAGTGTGAAATATTTAACACCAGCCTCCGGTGAACCCCCACACGCATGTCTCTGTCCCTGACACTCACATCAGCACTCTCCCTCCACATTCTCTGCCTTAGTTACAGCAGTGACACTAAACTTAGGATAGACTCAAGACCCCCTTAGCCTGTAAGAGCAATGGCCTTAGGGACCATCGGCACAGCAGCATTTCAATCAGGAAGCTGTCATCATCATTAAGGCCCTCCATCCCACCCTCCCTGATGACCCCCCCTCCCCCCCTCCGAACTCCCACCTGTCTCCGGCAGGCCCATCTTAACTCTCATGTACTGCAGCAGGAGAACCACAGAGCAGTTGGTGTTGGCCAGAAACTGCTCATTGTCTGCAAAGGGAGGAGATAGAATGAAAATAAAGAAATTGCCTGAAATACAGTTTCTAACATTGCAAACATCAAAATGTGAAACTAGTGGAATGCATTTTATGACTTTGGTCTTACCTCCGTGTTTAATACAGATGAACATCACTCAGGAAGCTGCTGAGGAACCGGAGTCCCTTGCGATATTGAGAAGCCTAAAGTGGTGAAAACTTTTTGATAAAGGTTCCATGGATTGGAATCATTGGATACATGGTTATGAAGTCATAATATTAATTGTGATTTCACAGGAGTGTTCTCTTCTTCTCTTGTTGGCTTCACAACTTTGATTCTTTGATTTTGGAGACTGCTTTCTCCATCTGTCTTAATCTCCATCTGAACAGGATGTGTTGTTTGTTTTCATGTCAGAGTGCAACCCCACTCCTGCCTATGTCAGCTTTATTACAGTGTGCTAACCAGTGTCATGAGGAGTGAAGGAGAAGCTGAATTACACTTCCAGACAACACAACAACAGTATAATCGAGACAACAGCAAATATGAACAGCACACCAAAACTCTTATAAAACCTATTTAATATCTCAAATTATACATAAGTTGTTCTGTTCATAACAAATCATCAGAATGAGATTTACAATATACTGTATCTACATCCGTGAGTGTCTATCATTTCGAGTTGAAAATATACCCCATCCACCATTAAAAAGTCAGCATCTAATACCTAATCAGCCTGTCTTAAACTGGCTAAAATAGAACATGGCCAGAAATGACCTTTCAACAGACTCAATCTTAAAGTCTTGCGCAGCCTGATGTTGCATTCTGGTGTTTGCTCTGCATGCTGGTAGGAAACCTAGAAGCCGGGCACATGTGGCCCAGGCTTCCCTCTGTCCATCCCCAACGCCAGTTCATCTCAAAGATGAGGAGAGTTTCAGAGTGCAAACATTGTGATCCTCTGTAGCTCAGCTGGTAGAGCACGGCGCTTGTAACGCTAAGGTAGTGGGTTCGATCCCCGGGACCACCCATACACAAAAAAAAAAATATATATATGTATGCACGCATGACTGTAAGTCGCTTTGGATAAAAGCGTCTGCTAAATGGCATATTATTTATTTATCTCCAGAGCCCATAAAAGAACACTGAGTTGACCTAAGATACTGCCCTCCGCTGGAATCATTGAACACCAAGGGACTTGTCCAGGAAATTGGCAAAATGATTTGGTTGTCCCGATTAGTGAGAGAACAGAAAGGTTCATCGTCCTCAAGGTCTCAGTGAGATTGCTGTGAAATTTGAGACAAAAGGGGATTTGTAAGTTGACCCAATGAATTTGAATCACTTTGACAACTCTGGGACTTTATTAGCAGAAATGTACAATATGTCAGATTGACAAAGTGTGAGTCCTCATGATTAAGTTGGACATGAGGATTTACACTGTACAGTACAGTAGGTGTGAGTCTTGGTGTAGCTGTTTGGCCAGCTCTAGCTGGTGATTGTCCATACATTTGTCATTGACCACCACTAGCAGTGGTTTGCCTGCACCAAGGGTCTCCAGACAACTAACTGCCCCTGAGAATACAAGACAAGGCATTTCATTATTATCAATTATCAACATTAAAGACCAGCACAACGGTTTGGTAGTTTCGTTTTTTTATTTATTCGGCCATTGTACACACCAGCATGGCTGATAACCAGGTCGGCACATTTGATATCTTCAGCGATGGAATCCTTGAATTTAAAGGCCTCTAACGTGATCTTGTGACCGCTGTCTGAATCTGGGAGGATGGAGCTTCGTCCGACCTGCAGGAACAAATGTTGATAGGCGCGGGCTTTCAACAACTTCAAGAAAGATAAAGAAACGTTACTATAAATAGAACAATACGAGGGTATGGCACATCTACACAACTTATCCTTGTCTAGTTTTTGAGGCCAGCTAGCTAGCTAGCTAGCTCTCATGAACCCAAGTTAGGTTTACCTAGTTTACAGCCGGCCCCCCCTTGGGTTCTCAGCTGCTGGTACTGATCACAGCTGGCTCCCTAGTGAACTACAATCCCGATGCTCTGTTTAATCCCAACGCTCTGTCTAAACGCAAATACGCCTAACTTGCGATACAGTTTTGGAAACCTTTGGAACTTAACTTTCATATAAGCAATAAATCATTTTTCAAATACAAAAGATACACTTACTTGCATCCGGCTGTTTTCACACGCCGCCTCGGCTAAAACGCATCATCTCACTTTGCACTCGCATTTTCACTGGACCATTCCATCCCACATTTCCTGTGTTTCTCAAAATACAACCGGGTGCAACTTTCTTAAACTGCTTACAGTAAGTATATTTTGCATTTGAACAAGTATTTCTCGCTTATATGAAAGTTAAATTCCAATTGTTTCCTAAACTGTATCGCGTGCGAAGCGTATTTGTGTTTAGTCAGAGCATTAGGGCCAGTGGTGTAAAGTACTTCAGTAAAAATACTTTAAAGTACTACTTAAGTCGTTTTTTGGGGTATCTGTCCTTTACTTTACTATTTATATATTTTTTACAACTTTTACTTTTACTGTAAGTGAGGACTTGGTGGACTGTATATTCTTTAGGTTAGGTTTTACTTGATGTGTTCGCTCCCGTGTGCTGGTAAGGCCACAGATGACAGACAGGTAAGATTCCAGTTGTTTAATAACGCTGAATATGCACAGGCACGGAACAGCACAACACAGTGTATGTTGTATGGATGGGCTAAGGCACTTAGTGGTCTGGCAACTTGCTTCAACCAAAGTGTGTGTGTGTGGTCTGCAAGTAAAGAGAGAAATAAAGATACAAAAGTGAATGACAGAATACAATCTCCAATTCACATCTCTTACAAACAATATGTATGGCTATAACATGACTATGATAACTTTAATGCTATACAGGACCATACAGCGCAATTCAACGTGACTGTGACTGCACTAATTGAGATCAAAGGGGTGCAGCCGCACGTGTACTACAAGGCATAGCGCCATCATCTTCAGTACAAGGCTACAACTGCACAATGAACTTGAATACCTCTAAACAGTGAACTACAATGTAATACCCATATAATGATGTACCATACACCTATACAATTACAGGGCATATAAACAACGCACTGGGGGACATTATCCTCTACAAATTCAGGGTTAAATGTCTGAAATGATATGACAACCAAACCAGAGCTAGCCAGCTCACAATAGCTAGCTCGCAGTAGAAACTACTAATTAGCATAACCATAAATATGAAATGATCGTAAGAGTGCATCTTCAGACATAAACACCTGAAAGATATGACACAATGGAAAGCTAACTGTTGGGAAAACACAAGGATGGCTGGGACTTTCTCTCACTTGACTTCTCTCGAGCTGATCTTCTCTAAACTGGAGATCGGCCAGGCGGGCCAGCATGCTCTGCTCCACTTCACCGGTGGACGGAGCTACAGCTCTGATATAATGAACTAACATTACTGATATGATTAACTAAATTTACTTCACTACATTCCTTAAGAAAATAATGTACTTTTTACTCCATACATTTTCCCTGACACCCAAAAGTACTCGTTACATTTGGAATACTTAGCAGGACAGGAAAATTGTCAAATTCACGCACTTATCAAGAGAACATCCCTGGTCATCCCTACGGCCTCTGATCTGGTCGGACTCATTAAACACAAATGCTTCGTTTGTAAATTATGTCTGAGTGTTGGAGTGTGCCCCTGGCTATTCTTAAAAATAAATACAAATTGTGCCGTCTGGTTTTCTAAATATAAGCAATTTGAAATTATTTCTACTTTTAATTTTGATACTTAAGTATATTTTTGCAATTACATTTACTTTTGATACTTAAGTATATGTACACCAAATACTTTTAGACTTTCACTTTTACTTACGCCATTTTCTATTAAAGTATCTTTACTTTTACTCAAGTATGACAATTGGGTACTTTTTCCACCACTGATTAGGGCAGTGTCTGTGAAAGTCCCCTCAGGCAGCTTCCTAAATAGACAGTATATAATATATATGTTTGTGGTATATTGCCAATATACCATGGTTAAGGGCTGTATCCTGGCACTCCAGGTTGCGTTGTGCATAAGAGAAGCCCTTAGCTGTAGTATATTGGCCATATACCACACCACCTCGGGCCGTATTGCTTAAATAACATTTACCTTCTATTTGAATGGGCTAGCTTATGTAGCCATTTTCACAGATCATACTCACTTGGACAGCTTCAGGGGACATAACACGTTCAATTAGGTCATCAAAGCTCGTTGTTCCTACAGTTACAAATACCCTCTTCATGGTTACTCATGTAACTAATGTTATCAAATGTAACTAATGTTACAGTAAAGATATCGATTGTGTGTTTGTTTATATCTGTCAATAGCCAGAAGTCACGTTCGTATTTTTAATTTACGCAAAAGAATACATCACTCTGCCACCTAAAGGTTTGGAGATTTACCTACAGTCTCGAATTTTTTTCCCCCAAATAAGAAGTGTGGTATTATTGATCTACTGTTGAACAGTGGTAGTATCCCTCTGACCATTTAGAAAACTCCACTCGTGATGTGAAAATACTTCAATCGGTTTGACACCTCAAAAGCACAAGAATCTACTTTGACGAACATCTGCTTTCAAATAAGGGAATGCTGCCCCCTTGTGGCTAATTGTGTGACACACATAACGTTGCAAATAGAAATACAGTATATTATATAGAGCTGACACTATTCTTTCTACATGATAGAAAATCATATCTGTTCTACACCATATTCTATCTGAATATTGAGCAAAGTAAAAGTAAGTAGCCTTGTCTCAGCCAAAATGGCCCAACCATTTTTACATTACATTTTAGTCATTTAGCAGACGCTCTTATCCAGAGCGACTTACAGTTAGTGAGTGCATACATTTTCATACTGCCCCCCCGTGTGGAAACGAACCCACAACCCTTTCGTTGCAAGCGCCATGCTCTACCAACTGAGCTACAGGGGACTACGCCTTAAGGCCACTTGAGTTGATTCATCTGAATATTAAACCAAGTTTCTAATTTTAATGTCACGTGCACAAGTACAGTGAAATGCCTTTCTTGAAAGCTCTAAACCCAACGATGTAGTAATCAATAACAATGTAATACTATAAATAACATAAGGTAGAACAAAAACACACGGGAAAAGAAATAAGAAGAACATGGTTAATGGATGGTAAATATCTCCCTAGAGTCGATGTCCGCGACCACCCGAAATCTAATTAGCATAATAAAACATTCCCATTAAAATGTGTCTGTTTAAGCAGCAGTGTTTTTCAGACCATGAGACATCCCAAAATTCGTCTTCTCATGAAAACGTCTGCAGCATCCGAACAGTTTGGCCTACTTGCTCTCGGACACCCACAAGCCTCACAAGACTCTTTTGAAGGTAGCCCTGTACCAGTTTAAACCCTATATATGGAAGTAGTTTAATGCCCAAAAAGGGGTTAAATATGGGTAAAAAAAAAAAGAGAGGGTAATTTCCTGATCTTTCTTATATCTCTAAGATATAGGACAGACACTTTAAAACAAACGTCCTTTTGATGTACTCCTGAGTGGCGCAGTGGTCTAAGGCACTGCATCGCAGTGCTAACTGTGCCACTAGAGATCCTGGTTCGAATCCAGGCTCTGTCGCAGCCGGCCGCGACAGGGAGACTCATTGTCGGCGCACAATTGGCCCAGCGTCGTCCAGGGTAGGGGAGAGAATGGCCGGCAGGGATGTAGCTCAGTTGATAGAGCATGGTGTTTGCAACGCCAGGGTTGTGGGTTCGATTCCCACGGGGGGCCAGTATAAAAAAAAAATGTATTCACTAACTGTAAGTCGCTCTGGATAAGAGCGTCTGCTAAATGTTTAAAAAATGATGTATTTTTCCGACTTATTTTTTATCTGTTTTTCTATGTATGAATCTGTTATTCAACGCGTTTCTATGGGCAGTAAGGACAAATTCAATGTTTCATCAAATTCTTTTATTCTATATTTTTTTACACCTAAAGGGGTCCTAAAATTCCAAATCAACTGAATTATCCTTGGTATGACCATCTTAAAACAATTCCATATGTTAGCTTAGTAGTGTGCATGGGTGTGTAGGACCCTGCAAGTGTGCATAGACAGTACAAAAATAAAAATACAAGGACATAGCCACAGGAAGAAGGGGTGCAGCAGCACCCCCTGAATAATCAGAATATTACAAAATATATATATTTGTTAAGAATATTTTTTCACAAAAATAGTGCACTGGGCCTTTACTAGTCCTGTATTAGCGGGCCGATATAGCCGTCTGTAGCACATGCAACAAGCAAAAAAATGCTGCAACACCCCCACCCCAAACTACTTTACTTCCCGCAGCTACTGTATGTACAAGGGGTCAACCACCTGAATAAGCGTCAGTTCTCGTTATGTGCAGTGTAGTAGGAGGTACAGCACACTGCCTCAAGTTATTTAAATTTGATGTGAAGTAGGAAACATGTATATCACATCAGCTTTAATAATGTAACAGTCTAAAACAGAAATGTATGAGCATTTGCTTGCCAATGTTGATTCAGGACACCAAACTTGTGACCACATGATCAGAGGGGTATCCTACATACCAGGTTTGATAAGTTAGCGAGGTAACTTTGGTCAACTGAGTTCAACTCGGGATACCCAGTCATGCGAATGTACCTTTTAGTCAGGTACATTTCTATGGCAAGAAATCCTTCAGAACTAATTAACAAGTCAATTTATCCTGAATGAATTGTCTGCGCCATAAGCTGAGGATCAATTAAATCAGATGCCCTCCCTTTCGCAAAGATTGCGTCATCGCCTTCATTTGAGAAAGAAGACTGATTCAGTATTTTACTAATCAAATGTTTGTGTATTGTGGGAAATTATTCTCTTATATTTTAGATGTGCTATTAGCTTAATAAGAAAGCATTAATGATTAAACATAAAAGGTTTGTACTGTACTGATATAAATTGTTTAACCTAACAAGCTGTGATTCATGTGAGGAGCTGTTAGGGAGTAGGGTGAGATAAGGCTTGTGACTCACACTGCCTCTTTGTTAGACCGCTCAAGGACATAGTGTTCTGCTACAAAGATGTCTGAGGTTGCTGACTCTCTGGACAAGTTGCAAAACAACTAAACACCTGGCAACAGTGAAGCGCCAAGGGGCTGGGACCAGCCTGTGCGCCAACGATAGGCTGAGTAAGTCTAAACCACGCTCAGTCTCTACTCTGATAGTTCCCGCTCCCTGCTGGCCTATCTCTGTCAGAGTATTTAAAGAAGAACTTATAACAATGGACCAGTTCTCTGTCTGCCCTGCATGGTATTTCAGTGGACCCGTATATACGAACATCATATTTACCATTGAAGTGTTTTGCATTAATTAAAATACTAGTCTATTTTAGAAGTCCTGTTGACCTCTTTTTGTTCCAATACCAGATTTGAATTGACGCAATTGAACAGTATTAAAACAAGTAAAATGTTAAAATACCTATCCCGTTATTTAGTAATAACAGAATGTATTTGAAACTTCACGCACAGTAAAGCTTTTGTATGACAAATACAATTATTTTATCGATAGGAGTGGTAAAAAAGGTGCTTATGCATTGATATGCACACCAAAGACGGCATTAACGATAAGTAATAAAATATAGATGGCACTTCTAAAAGCCTTTTTCACACCATATATGCCTGCTGAATTTGCAAGATTACTTTTCCTTCGTTTTCATTTCAGCACAAATGAAAATGTGTCACAGACTTCCCAATGGATTGAGGTTTTAGCATTGTCTCAACGAAGAGTTCGGTGTTCGACTAACCACGTGCGACATGCACATGTAGTTACAAGCCTGCTAGAGTTACATCCACCGTTTTAGGATGAAGCCGGAGCTGGAATGTGAGGCTAACTGAAGCTGGTTAGCTTTAGAAAACCCTGAGTAGATCTAGCTTGCTTCTTAGGATACCCCTCTGGCCAGTGTTCCTCAATCTTGGTATCAGATTTGTACTACATGATGGCAGTAATTATGTTGAAGAGTTGGAAGTAAGAGACTGAATAACCACACAGAAACCAATGTAAGACTGAAATCATTTAAGGCTCTGTTAATTCTCATCTTCAAAAACAACACACTGTAAAGTCACAAAAGCAAGTATAAAAGAAAACATTGATAATTGGCTAACAAAGCAATTAGAGATTTTAATAAATAGGTTATGAGAAAAGCTAACTTAATTTAAAAAAAAGTAATATAATGTAAGTTAGATCATTTAGGGCAGGGGGGTCAAACGCATTCCATAGAGGGCCTAGTGTCTGCAGGTTTTTCCTTTCAATTAAGACTTAGACAACCAGTTGAGTAGAGTTCCTTAATAATCATTGACCTTAATTCATCAATCAAGTACAAGGGAGGAGCAAAAACCTGCAGACACTCTGCCCTCCGTCGATCATGTTTGACACGTGGTTTAGATTAGATTGCTTAGGGCCAGAATTTGATCAAACCATGTTGTAACACAATAGTCATTTGCATGATGACTAAGAGGAACCTGTATCTCCTGTATATAAAGCAAACCACACAGCGGTAATTAGAAAACAAACATGCATAGTGCTCTATGCTCAACGTGAACATCTCATGCTTGGGGACCTGGCTTGACCATGCCTGTTGAAAAATAGAAAGTTGAAGGCTGGTCTGCTTTATGACCACCATACAGCTAGTTTAGGCCCTATAGAGCACAGCAATCATATATTTACCACGGTTTGATTCAATTCTGGGTGGCCCACAACCTGCATGTCTGTTATCACTTTAAAATTAGATACCAGATTTAATAAACCGATAAAAGTACAAAGTAAAACTAGGGGAAATAATGACTGAGCAGCTTCAAAAAGGGACGTTGTGGTCCTGAACAGATCACGGCTCATTGCCCCAGCGCTCCCCAACCCCAAATTAGAAAATAGAAATCCATAGACAACACTTCATCCTCATTCCCATATGGTTATCCTCTACACATTGAAAAGTGGGTCTTCCCTGGGCCGGGTCACCATGAAGGCCAGTGAGTCTGCAGGTGAATGTGTTCCACAGTCAAGATATCAAAGGTTGGGCAGGCTCAAGACTCCCTTTAATTGGATTATGAACAGACAAGAATCTGCTCTCTGGTACTGTAGGTAACACTGCCAGCTGGAGAGGTCAAAAGATGTGATTGAGCGGAAGTGGTTCCTGGGTCATAGGTCATCAAAGCAGGAACGAGTTGGGAGAGATCCTGTCAAATAATGACAATAGAGAACAAAAAAAGTACTGTGTTTTAGTAACTGACAGAGTAAAGGAAAGACTGAAGACACCACTAGGTGTTGATACACTGTATGAAGATATTCATATTTGAGTAATTAAGACCTTTACACAGTTAAGGAAATTAGCATTTCATCAATATAGAAAACTGTGAAACACAGTTAAAACGACCAATACCTCGATGTGTATGTGTGTCTGCTGTTTGTGTGGGGAAGGTGGGGGTAGTTCTCACACAGTGCAGAAAATCTGCTTCCTGTTTTGGAACATCAACTTATATTCAGGATGCTGCGTTTTCCTTGTCTGATACCTGTCCTATCTGTGGCTCATAAATCTCTAGTCTCTACACTGCCAGCTTCTTCTCTCGCTCTTCTTTTCCGCCCTTGTGCTCACTGCTCAGACAGTTGGGTTCTTCACGCCACATTCTTTGTCTGATCTAATGATAACAGGCTAAACCAATGGTTTTAACAGTCTGTGCAGCAAACCCCCTCCTCTGTCTGCTTTTTCTAACAGCTGTAATTTTGTTCCCTTTGTGCCACCCCTAATCCTCTCATCTCCCTTCCTCCGCACGTACATTTTTGCACACGCATTATGAACTCTACACTCCTGCTATCCATGCCCATACATCTTATCACAATCTGTGAATTCTTGCCCATTGTCAGTGAAAAGCCTATTGTGCATTATCACTTCTTTGTACTACTATGTGTGTGTGGAGGGTGAAGTGTAGTGCTTTAGTCTCTTACCTGGGGAAGAGGTATAGAGAGGACAGTGTCCCTTACTCCCTCACTGCACCACACAGGCCGTGCAGCACTGCTCCTGTTTCTCTGGCAGCGTGGCATAGTTCATCTGACGGACGATCTCAGCAAACAGCTCGTCCACCATGGTCTTGCTCTTGGCCGAGGTCTCGATGAAGGGACAGCCCCACTCTTGGGCCAGGGTCCGACCATCTGCACCCGCCACCTCCCTCTCAGACTCCAGGTCCACCTTGTTCCCCACCAGGATCAGTGGCACCTTCTCAAAGCGCTTCACCCGCACTATCTGGTCTCGCATCGGCCTGATGTCCTGGGGAGGAATTTAGATATGATGGATATAAGGATATTCTCAGGAACTGTGGGGAAATGTTTGTGCAACAATTATTGCTGCCTAGCCCTTCAATGTATATCAATCGGTTAAGTAGCAGCCCTTAAGCCATTCTTCCAACCTGTTGAGCTTTAAAAAACGTTCAGTGTGTAGAGCACAGACTTATGGGGATGAAGAGTTGTCTATGGATTTATATTGTAGAGATTAGGCTGTCAACAATAGGCTTAGGAATGATGCACTCAGAATTATATGAATACAATAGGCAATGCTCAGTAGGCCCATTTAAAACATGGCTACAACTCTATCATGAGGTTGCAAGCTCCTTGACATGTTGGCAGGTAACACCAGATAAAGGCCCTTTACCTGAAATGACTGTTGATTGACGAGACTGTAGACAAGTATGAAACCCTGGCCGTTCTTGATGTACAGGTCCCTCATGGAAGCGAACTGTTCTGTCCCTGCCGTGTCAAGGATCTCCAGCACCGAAGGCGACGAGTCCACTTCGATCTCTTTCCGATAGAAGTCCTCAATTGTAGGGTCATATTTCTCGATGAATGTGCCCGTGACAAACTGGACAGTCAGCGCGGATTTGCCGACGCCGCCGCTTCCCAGCACAACCACTTTGTACTCCTTCATTAGGGTGCACGAGCTTGACCCGGGTTACTTAGCTAACGTTAGCTAGCTGGATTGCTATATCCTGTGACAACATTAAGTAAACCTTGAAAACACAACTCTGTAAACCCTCACAAGTCAACCTCCCAGTTAAAATGTTAACATGTATGCATTTGGTTAAAACAAATTCAAATCTAGTTAAAAGCAGAAGTATTGCACTGAGCTAGCAAGCAAAGTTAGCTAAATCCACAACGCCCCTCCATGCTCGCTCGCGATAAGGAGCCTTCTTATGCCAAATCCTACACAGACAGTAAACATAACTATGTTACCTTGACACGAATATGGGCAGCTGCTCCTATCAGTAATATGCCCCAAAACTGTGCATTAACTGGGTTGGTGGTTAGCTAGTTAAGATGCACAATATTATAATGACTTGTATTGTCTCCATTTTTGTAGAGCATGTGAATGTGGCTCGTTCATACCACATCATAAAGCATACCGGTGTCGCAAAAGCCCAATGCCAGCGTCTGCCACTTCCACCACTGCGGGTCCCTGGCCTTATCAAGGGCAGGCTGCACGTTAGCAGCCAGATAGCGTTTAAGAACCTCGGGTTTGAGTTTCAGCCCAATGCAGTCCACAGTACACTGCTTGCTTGCTGTTTAGGATGAGACAGGGAAAGACCTCCCACTCCCTTCCTTAATTTCGTCCTCACGGCCTCTCCCTAGTATCGGTACTGTCTCATCCTCGCGACCACCAATGGGCTGCAATGTCCTGTGGAACCTAGTAAGTAACCAGCTCTTATTTTCTTTCCAAATCTAATCAAATGACGAGCACCAAATTTGCTGGCGCAAATACTAATATATTCAAGTCCTCAGCAGGGACATTGAAACGCTACATGATGGTCCAAAATGCAGGCCATATGTCAAGGAAGGACCATGGTGGGAAATCTACAATGTAATTGGTCACCTTGAAGAGTTATTGGCATTCCCATTGGTTCAACTAGAACTTTAGGCGGGACAGTATGACGCAACGTTAGAACATAGAGAACGTTGCACATAGAAATATACTGCATAGAATGGAATTTACAGGATTCAGTTCACTGCACGCTGAGGATGGAAATTAAATTAATAATACATTAATCTTTATAATGGCTGATAATCGAAGTGTGAACATTAATTGAGCTATTTACAGGAACTATGTTATAGATGATGTTATAGGCAAGCAATAATTTGTCTGATTTGTCTGATTTTTGTGTGTGTTTTAAGTGTGCTTCAGCTTTTCCATAGCAAGATAAGTAGGAGACTCCAAACAAAAGCACTGATGTGAATTTGTGGTTTTGTCTGCTTTTTTGGACCTCCTATTCTTGTGGCTTCTTTTTTTCATACATATCTGATTTACCGTTTAGAAATTAAAGCACTTTATAGAGCTAATCCCCCCATTTGAAGATGTAATACGTTTTTGGACAAATTTCATTTATAGTTATAGTGTACCAAAGGTGTCAAAAGTTGAGTATTTGGTCCCATATTCCTAGCACGCAATGACTACATCAAGCGTGTGACTCTTAAAAACTCATTGGATGTATTTGCATTTTGTTTTGGATGTATTTTGGGTTATGTTTTGCCCAATAGGAACTGAATGGTGAATGATGACTGGAGTAATTTTCTTTCATAGTGAGTAGATAAGATGTTTCTGAACACTTCTAAATCAATCCATATAATGCCATGATTAAGAAATATCATGAATGAATCATGAATAATGATGAGTGAGAGAGTTACAGAGCATACTGTCCCTCTGTAACTTCCTCACTCATCATCATTCACGATTCATTCATGATTATCCATAATTATGGTAGCATCCACATTCATGAAGAAGTGTTCACAAACATCTATTGGACAAAACATAATCTGAAACACAACCAAAACAAGCTGTAAATGCATCCAACAAGTTTCTAGAGTCACAAACTTGATGTAGTCATTGTGTGCAAAAAATATGCGACCAAATACTAAACGTGTGACTACTTTAATACACTATAAGTGAAATGTGTCTAAATACTTATGACATCTTCAAATAGGGGGATTAGATATATAAAGTGCTTTCATTTCTAAACGGCAAATCAGATATGTATGAAAATACCCTAAAATAAAAGGTGACATTCTGTACTGTCACCTCATATGAAACATTTGATCATTGGATTGAGTAGTTGTTCAATTGTTAGTAAATGTTGGGAGACTTGACTCTCAATCTATCCTATAGAAAGCTCTCCTCTGTTTAAAGTGGAAAGGCCTTGGACCAATCCACAGCGACCCAGTCCCTCCACAACCTCTAGGATCGTGTCCATTGCTTCCAAAGCAATGGAAGAGCATAATAAGTAAGTCAAAAGACAGGTAAACAGTGACCACTAGCGGCTGTTCGGGCTACTAACGCATTTCCCACTATCGTCTGATCCTGATGTTATTCCAAAGACAGCCAGCATGTGGAACTCCAGACTCACGGGTTCTTCTGCTATCATACACCCCTAACTCACTAACCACACACTACAACTATTTCCACCACTAGGCCTACTGCAGTCACAACTTCTACTGAACTTCGTCCACTGCCATGAAGAATACCTTTAGATAGCTGAAGCAAAGCACATCATTTTTCTCAATGAAGCATAAATTGGCTGTTGAAGGCACTGCATGGTCAATCTGCAGTCTGCATCGGCCGTGCAGCATTTAAAGCCAATTTATGCTTGATCCGAAAATGTGGTCGGAGGCGCCATATGGATGGTGTGACGCAATTGCGGAACCACTGGAGTCATGCAGAGGCCAAAATGAGCTTGTACTGCAAATGTTCTAACAATTCAGAGTGCTCTGTATAGCTCCTCATTGACATGATTGGTTGACCGTAGGTGAGGGCGGGAGGTCCTGTATAAACACAAACTCACTTCCTTTACAACTTCCTTCACAACAGCTCTGTGCTGCTCCTAGAAGCACAAGATGTATGAATGCCATGACTTCTGCAGAGGCTGTATCACCAAAAATGCTGCACGGCCAATGCAGATGTCAGATTGACCATGTAGCGCCTTTTACGGGGATATGGCCTTTGCAGAAGTCAGGGCATTCATACTTCTTCCACAGCAGCACAGAGCTGTTGTGAAGGAAGTTGTCAAGGAAGTGAGTTTGTGTTTATACAGGACCTCCCTCCCCCACCTACTGTCAACAAATCATGTCAATGCAGAGCTATACAGAGCCCTTCGCATTGTTAGAACATTTGAGAGGCCACGGCAATGCGGTACCGAGCTCATATTGCTAAAGCAGTGTTTTATTAGGATTACTTACCATTCGCCATTGACTTGTTTTGGCATTGCATTCTTTTTCAATTATTACACCTTCGTTTACTGCGTTACTGTTCAGTTTCACCACTAGATGGTGAGACCTGCCTATGATAGGATAAATGGAGAGACTGACGAGTAGTGGCAAGTAAGGAGTAAAAAGGACACGCAGCTCATTCAATATAATCCGTGTAGGTTTCTCGTTTTAACAGTGACATTTCTTGCTTTAGGGAATGAATCGAAATACAGTAAATGTTCTATGAAAAACATTCACTTTACTAATTGAATTTCAGTAGCCTAATTTATCTGAATAGACTTTAAATTAAATGGAGGGAATTGACCTATGTCTCTCCTCAGATTTCCTTGGGGAGTGCAGGGGCAGCTTGACACAGCAGCTGGGTCGCACACACACACACACACACACACACACACACACACACACACACACACACACACACACACACACACACACACACACACACACACACACACACACACACACACACACACACACACACACACACACACACACACACACACACACACACACTGTAATTCCCCAGAGGTAAGTTGGGGGAGAGCTGCTACTGAGGTAGACTTTATTACTGCTGTGTAATTAATAAGAGCAACATACCATTAATGTGTTTCTCTCTCTCTGTTCTCCCCCTCTCTCTCTCCCTTGCTCCCTCATTCCCTCTGTCTCCCACAGAAGCCATTAACCACAGAGACCCTAAGCTGTGTACTGTGGGAGATATCCTCCTCAGCCTCTGGCCCTCTCCACTCCATCACCCTTACACTCCTTCTTTTCTTTCCTTCACTTCCCTTTCTCTCTCTTTTTATTTCTCGGTGTGTGTGTGTGTTCGCGTGTCCTTGCACGTGCATATGTGTGTGTGTGTTGATACCATGCTCCCTCTCTCTCTCTCCCTCTCTGGGGGACTGTATGATGTCATGTCTCTGACGGTCCCCCCCATCCCTGGGGACAATAACCAATTATCCAAAGTGCTCTGTCCCTACTCCCTCTTACCTCTCCCTGCCTCCTCACAGACATTTGACCTCTCACCTTGCCATTATCTGTGGAGTGACACCTCCCACGACACCGCGGTTGAGTATGTGTGTGCGTGTGTGTGTGTGTGTGTGTGTGTGTGTATGTACACACGCGTTTTTGTATGAGTCAACTGTCAAGGTCACACACCCACTTTCATATAAGCGAGTGACAGCCTTGCTCCAGCTGGACGTTGTTAGGTGAGAATGTCAGGGGCTTGTCTCATACGTGACACCATTTTCAAATGCCACAGAACCATAAATCAGATATCCCACAGGAGAGCAGGAGGTGAATGTTGAGAGACAGATTATAGACTAATAACTAACATGGCCACCAACGCCATGCCCAGTAGTTTGGAGGTAACACTCCTAGAGAGAAATAAAGGTGGAATTATATAGGGGGAATTCTCTGTGAATTGTCTCTTTGTCTCTGAGGCTGTGTGATTTGAGTTCCTTTTTTCTGTGTAAACCCCAGCTCTCTCTAAACACCAACCACATTTCCCACTTAGCAGAGGTTGCCAACTGATCTAGGTGACGGAGTGTTAGGAGACAGTGTGGCATGAATTGCGGCTTTGGCACACACACACACACACTTGGCCGCTATCGGGCATCAGGCATGGCATCACCTTCAACCCCCCTCCCTCCCTCCATCCCTCCCTCTCTGCCCATATGCACCCCTGCCCCATCCCCTTCCCTTGCCACGTCACCCAGCCCAGCGGAATTCCCTGGCGGACTCACTCAGATAAGGCTTTTGGGGTCTCTGGCCTTGGCTCAGAGAGATGGAGGTCCTATAGTGAGATAATGGGGGGCTTGTTCTGTGTCCCTTATTCTAACTGACTACATTATCGAATGTGTGTAGTAGAATGTAGTAGAATGGGACTGTAGTAGAATTAAATGTAGTAGAATTTTACTGTAGTAGAATGTGACTGTAGTAGAATGTGACTGTAGTATAATGTAGTAGAATGTGACTGTAGTAGAATGTGACTGTAGTAGAATGTAGTAGAATGTGACTGTAGTAGAATGTAGTAGAATGTGACTGTAGTAGAATGTAGTAGAATGCGACTGTAGTAGAATGTAGTAGAATGTGACTGTAGTAGAATGTAGTAGAATGTGACTGTAGTAGAATGTGACTGTAGTAGAATGTAGTAGAATGTGACTGTAGTAGAATGTGACTGTAGTAGAATGTAGTAGAATGTGACTGTAGTAGAATGTAGTAGAATGTGACTGTAGTAGAATGTAGTAGAATGCGACTGTAGCAGAATGTAGTAGAATGTGACTGTAGTAGAATGTGGAGTGAATGACATCACTTTGGCACCCACTATGATATCAGAAGGGTTTACTCTCCCCTGGCGCTTACAGTTTTTTATTGGCAGAACATTTCTGAAAGCACGGACAATAAAACAATTTTTTGATGGTTCTTCAAATTGATTAGCTTCTTTGAGCATTAATGTTTAAAAGGGCATGAATCACTCAACATACTGTCTCCTCCTCAAAAGTCTCTCTAAATCCCTCTCTTTATTTCACTCCCCTAAACCATCTCTTTCTCTCCCTCTCTCTCTCTCTCTCCCTCTCTCTCTC